GCTGCGAGCCAACTCGGCCCAGTTGACGCTGTCCTCGACGGACATCTTGCGCGAGTGGATCTGCAAGATATTGGCGCGAGCTTCCTCGTTCGGCAAGGGGAACTCGATCTTTCGGTCCAGACGACCGGAACGCAGGAGTGCAGGGTCCAGCACATCGACACGGTTGGTTGCCGCTAGGACCTTGATGCGGTCGTCCGAGGCAAAGCCGTCCAATTGATTCAGGAGTTCCAGCATGGTTCGCTGCACTTCGCGATCTCCGGATTTCTCTGAGTCGAAACGCTTGGTACCCACGGCGTCCAGCTCGTCGATAAAGATGATGGAGGGCGCCTTCTCCTTGGCCAGGGCAAAGCAGTCGCGCACAAGCTTGGCACCGTCTCCGATGAACATCTGCACCAGTTGGGGTCCGGCGAGCTTGAGGAATGTGGCGTTCGTCTCGGCGGCACAGGCACGGGCCAGAAGCGTCTTACCGGTTCCTGGGGGTCCATACATCAAAGCACCTGGGGAAGGGAAATGAATAGGTTAGCTTTGGAGTACAGCAGAACGGAGAAAGTAACTCACCTTTAGGGGCCTTGATGCCGATTTTCTTAAAGCGCTCTGCCTCCTTCATAGGCCATACGATGGCTTCCACGATCTCTTCGATCTGCTTATCCAGACCACCAATATCTGTGTACTTCTCCGTAGGCTTCTCGTCGACCTCCATTGCCTTGACACGGTTGTCATACTCGGCCGGTAGTGTGTCCAGAATGAGATATGAGTCCTTGTTGACACCGATCAAGTCACCGGGCTTCAGCGTTTCGTGGTCGACAAGGCCAATGAGCGGAAGGAAGATCGTCTGGCGGGTGGAGGTCTTGATGACAGCGGATTTGCCTACGCGGGTGGCATCCAGGTCTATATTAGCCCCTTCCTCTGCTGCCTCTGCCTCCACATCAAGATCCAATAGCTCGACGACATTTCCAACAAGGTATGGTAGTTGTCTAGGTAATCGCAGATGAAAATGTCAGTAGACTGTTGAGGGTAAAGCGTCTTTTCGCCGATCCGCAAGCCGGCCATCAAGCTCCGCGGGCTTGCAGAACAGCGAATACGGGGACGAGTGAATGCACACCTGTTGTTCTCGATCTTCTCTTGATTATCCTTCACCTTCTCCCTCATTGTGCTCTGCTCATGCGTCAAACGCTGGAACTCGCTTTTCATGATTCGCATCTCATTCTCCAGCATCCGCCGTCGCGTAACGATGTCTGCCGTGCTTGAGTTCAAGATATCCTCGTCCAGCATCTCTTCTTCTTCATCATTTTTGTCGGCGTCTTTCATATCGGCATCGCCGTCGCCTTCGGGCTTCTTGCCATCGCCATCGTTCTGGTCTTGCTTCTTGTCTCTCTGCTCCTGCTCAAGGTCGTCGAGGTCCTCAAGAGTCGACATGGCGGAATCGAGAAATTGGGGATTATGGGATCAGAAAAACAGAAGCTCAGATATGAAAAGACAGGAGGTCGATAGTTTGGAAAATGATGGGGGAAGATGAGAAAAGGTTGCTGGGAGGAAGAGCTGTCGGTGGCCGAGCTCCAACAACGTCAGCCATAGAGCATCACGTGATGTGATCTACGTTTATAATCAAGTGCGATTTGATTCTATCTGCTTGGATCAATTTTGGTTTGTACAATGTGAATGTTTTCTGCCGATTTATTTTCTGCCAGGTATTGCACATAGTCTAGATGAAGTAGTAAGGATTCTGGGAATTATTTCTGACATTGCCCAGGTTGTCCAGCACCTCTTTCCGGCCGAACTTGAGCAGACGAAGTCGAGAAATGTAGTCATCGTTGTTGACTAGCACTTCGTCAGTAGAAAAACATGAAAGGAGTGCTCTCGGATAGTACATACCGTAGCCACCACACATTCGCCTCTTTCCAGTAAATTGGGAGCGGCCATGCAACATTCTCCAGTTATCGAAAACTAAGACAAAACATGTAAGCTGAAGGGGCCATCAAAATGGCACGAAAGACTTACTGAGTGCTGATCCTGGTTTTAGCTTCGTCCACATTTCTCTGGTCTGCAAGATCTCGTTATAATGGCGCGCAGCGCGGTACCATGAGGTCTGCTCTGATACGGACCAATTGGTCTTTGGTGCACGATCATAGTTGTTCCAGCGGATCTGGTACATTTTATTCATGTCCGGGTGCATGGAGAATACAGGTGCCATGGCAGATGGTTGGATGCAGATGTCTTCGTTCCCGCTTGCATGCCACGGCTGTCTATGATATACCAATTGGGCATAATCCTCCTGGCTCTCACAGCGTAGTTGATGTGCGGCTGCAAATCCATCAATTAGCAGATTCTCTCCCCCAGATCCTTCGGTATGGGATAGCAGATGGAAGAGCTGAAGTCTTGCAGGATCTGTGAAATAAGTGTTGTCTGTATGAGCACCCAGGAATTCGTTGGTGTATGCCGTGTCTTTAAAAGTCAAATCGGCTGTGAAGTCCCAAAAGCCACCTGAAGCTATGTTAGCTGAATGAGGCATTAGTGAATCTTGGGTCTAGGGTACATACCATAATGGGTGTTCCTGATGAATGCAATCCGCTCGATAAGATATTGAGTGGCCTCTGGGTTGATAGGAACGTCGTCAACAAAACAAAATCCTTGATCCCACTTCATATATGTTAGCGAGTTTGGTCAAGAAGCCAAGATATAGGGAGCTTACAATATGACTCAACCAAACATGAAGAGATTCATCGTCGGACATAACATCGTCATATTTGACTCTGGGACTCTGATCTGGATCCATAACTGGAGTGAATGACCTTCTATGGCGTCAACCTCATTCTCTGATTCTGACCCCTTGGCTTTGAGTAACTTACCGCAGGCCAAATGGCGGATATGGAACCGGATTGGTTTTGTTAATACCCTTCTGCGCGTGTGCATAAAGCCAAGCATACGGATAAAGCCCCAAGTGGTTATCAGACCCTGTGGGTGTGTTAGCGATGGTAAAAGGGTCAAAGTTATGCATGCCATCTCTCACACTTGACCTCGACCATATTATCACTGTGCTCAATTGACTCTATCTTAACGTCCTGCGGAATCTGTAGATGTAGTATCAGAGAAAATGTAGTCACGGGGAGCTGTGGGATTTCCTACCGAAAAAGTGTCGCTTATCCTCTGCATCGTATCCGGATGAATACATTTGGGACACTGGCAGTTTTCTCTAGTCGTAGACAGCAAGTTATCAATAAGGGTTCAAGCTTCTAGTTTCATGCCTTGGTCACTAACCTGAGGAAAAACCGACCACTATAAATGCAAGTTAGTTGCTATTTAGTTTCTTTGGAGTTATACCAAACTTACAAGTTTAGCGTTGTTTCCCGGCCCTCTTTGGCTTTACCTGGGAAATTAACTATATCTGACCTGGTCCTACCAGACTGAAGACCATTCCGGGCCATCTTGGTGTTCAGCAATCTTGAGGAACCAGGTGTGACATGTCGGTGGCCAGTCATCTATGAACAACAGAACAAAGAGATCGAGTTAGTTTTTTATAATCAACTTCAGCGCGTATGATGCATTGAATCCATACCAAACCACCAGCGGGGGAACAGCGGGGTCTCAGGGCCTTGGGTCTAATCCGGAGAGGATATTAGCGTTGAATGTTCAAATACAAGTTGAATGGGAGATCTTACCCGGCGCGACTCCACAGCCCACTCAACCCGAGTGCTGTGCGCCAGGTGAAGCTCATGGCTGATACGGAGAACAAGAGGTTCTAGGGTCAAGGACAAGGAAATGTGTAGCAGTGCCTGGACAAATCCGGGGAAGTAATTTAATTTGTAAGGCGGGACAACCGAGGTTGGGGTCACGTGCGGGTAAATAAAGGAACTACTATAAATTATAGATAACCTATTATAATCTACTAACTCCTTTTAACACTTTATAACTATTTATAATTATTAAAATAGTAGCTTTAAATTTAGATATAGTCTTACCTTTAGTACCTTTCTAGTTAAAAATAATACCTAATTTTAAACTATAGAATGTGACGAGCCAGATCTACAGGCAGAGCCAGGATAGCAGAGCAAGAGAGTGCATTTCAACGAGAATACTAAAGACAGAGAAGAAAGAGAGAGAAAGGAGGCAAGATCTGGCGAGCTCTGAGAAAGCTAATCAAACCAGAGATCTATGCAAACCATGCAAACCCTGTCCTTGCTCGCTAAGCGAGAGTAAACAAATTTGGAATAAAGCAAACTAATCAAAAACAGATCTGGCATGTGATATCATCAGATCGTAACATAGAATTCCCTATCGAATAATACTAATTAAGGTATACTAATAAGGGAAATTATAAACTATAGAACCCTAGCTTTTACTTCGAGGAAAATCACTTAGATTATACTATATTAAATATATATCTCTAGGGCAAAATATATAGAGAATTATAATACTTAATTTAACGTACTATTTTTACTTAAAACTAATAGTAAAAAAGGCTAAATAAGATAACTATAACTTAATTTAATAATATCCGTAAATCAATCTAAAATTTGAATATTGTATAGCCTATTTAAGGTAATATTTAGAAGAGTACCTAATATAAGGTTAAAAAACTATAATTTATAGTGATAAATAAGCAGAATTATATATACTAAGACCTCGATTTTATATAAAAATAGGTTATAAATAGGCTTTTTAGGGCCTTAATAGAACCTATCAAAAACCGTAGTACGGTTACGGTTTGCCGATTCTAAACCGCACCCAATACGGTTTGGGGGTTGGGGCGAAGGTTTGGCCCCAATTGCGGTTTATGGCGAAGTCTAATCGACGGTGGTCTTCCAACCGTCGAAAAAGGTCTTCTGGCTTGGCCAGGACGTGCTACCAGTTGTAAGCTACTGAAAGTAGGGGGAAGAGAATATGTTGTATTCATGTTGGCTTACCGCCGGCTAAAGTACTATGGTAGTCACCTGACCGACAGTGACATAAATGATTCCAAACAGCTACAGCTACAAGGACGAAGCGAAGGAGGCCGTGTGACCATGCGATTGCCTGTCCCAGAATTCCAGAAGGGGGCGGCATGGCCAATAGAATTTTTACTCAACCGAGTAATCATCCGAACAGCCTTCTTTTCGCCAGATATACCTTGCAATCTAGAGATTTGCAAGCACGACGATATCCTCTTCGGACGGGGTGCTGCGGTCCTCCATTTGAGAGAAGAAGAACCAAAATGCTTCCTCTCCTTCTCCCATAAAGTCCTCCAAGACGATCGCAGTGCTAATGTCCATGAAAAGCGGTCAGATGGCATCGCGATCATTGAATCGGTCGTTCCAGAATGGAAAAAGGGGGCCAATTGGCGACACGGCTTCACCGGCCGAATTTCAATTGAACTCTATAAAAGATGGCACCCTTTAGCCTCAGACTATGAGGAACGAGAAGACTTCTTTGGAAGTGTTGTTTTGAGCATTCACTCAGAGGGAGCCGACCCAAAATGCTTCCTCTGCCTCTCCTCTGGACAGTCTTCAGCCGATTGCGAGCCTCATTCACCAGCACCTGGTAATGGCGTATCTAGACCTTCGATGACCAGCGACACTATTGCTCAGAAATCTACAGATAGCGTCGGGACTTTCATCGGGAAGAACCAACCGTGTAGCTTCCCCGATGTGGGACCTGTGAAACGCAAATCGTCACACGACAGTATCCGGTCTGAACTCAGACGGTCGGAGCGACTGACCAAAAGAGCTAGAACTTGACGGTAGTGTCTTCTTTCTGCTCGTTTTCATTCTTTACGACCCGCTGATAACAAAAGCAGAAACTAGAGCGTTATTTTGGAAATCCAAAGAGGACGGAGTTACTAGCACTGTGATCATTCGGTAACCTGTGGATGCGCTGAAAGATATCTTACCATAGCAGTGTTTGCGGGAATCTTTAGAGCGAGGCCAAGACCAGGACAGTGTGTTATCATGGACTTAAAGCGCGGAATTTCTCTCCATGCATCTGTTCCTGTCCCTAAATTCGCTCTGGTCTTGTATATGCGGCTCCTTGCGGACGTTTTGATAGTGTTGTGGGGAACGAGGCTTAACTTTATACCCACTGATCACCCTACCCGTCTACCGTGAATGATCACGTGTGTCTTAATCGTTGCGATGGTATGTAGATATTTTGTTATTAGCTTTATCAGCCTAATATATCATAAACTATAGGCATTCATAGTATTAGCACCTTAAAATTACTCTTATCCCGAACCTGATGTTTTGGCGGCATTAGAGAATTCTTGCAAAAGTCCTTGTATCCCAAGTGGTTGGATTCCAATTGCTAAACGAGAAGGTCTTGGTCGGTTCAAGTCATGCCACACATAAATCAGAATTTCCTGTCGAACTTCAATGAGAAAGGACAAACAACCTTTCTTCGAACTTCATGAATTAAACCACATTTTGGCAAGTCGCACCACTCGATCAGAATCCACATCCAAATAGTACCGCCACGGGCTCACGTTGACATGCAACGCGGTGCAGTCCCAATAAAATGCGACCGGGCCCTCACGACTGTATTTGAATGCGTTGATCACATCAAACATAGTCAAAGCACCGTAGATTATATATCCAACCGATACTAGACATATACCCCCGTTAAACCCAACATCATATCGAGCTGCTGCTATTTCTCTCCATTTTCGAACACTACCCCCTTTAAACATATAACTGATCACCGGGAAGATACCGAGGGTGCATACCATAGCTAGCGCAACAATGGAAAGGGATATAAAAGTACCAAGAAAATTCGTGACACCCGGGAAGTATTGATGGTCAAATTTGAACATGTAGGAGGTGAAAAGTGCCTGTTTAGAGCAGATTTGCTCTGCTGAGCATGTCGACGCTCCGGGTGCCTCCACGATGCGAGAGGCGAGACAGTCGTATGCGTCATATGGTGACCACTTTCTGCTAGCAGCTTGCAAGCTGTATGTACAGATGTATGCCGAAGCTATCCACATCAGAGCTGCTAGTATGTTGAATGTCCACTGCGTAATTTGTTGTGCCGTTTTAGGAGCGCGTCGGAGGACACAGTCATACGGGTGATAACCCAGCATGTAAGAATATTTCCATATCGCAACCCAGCCGAGCATGGATGGAGCAGGGTATCGTGTTGGAATGAAGGCAAACCTGCCAAAACCAATGCACCACCAGATAAAAGAAGCGAGGTCCCAGGCTAGGATTAGCCAAGTATCCCACTCTAACCCTTTGCAGCGCGTAGTCTCGTCGCTGTATAATGCCTTATGCATCTCTTTAAATTGCCAAAAAGCCAGAAAGAAAGTGATAGCAGTTATATCCCATGATTCAAGAGCCGTCGGCCAGAAAGCTGATGGACGTGGTATGGAAGGTATGATCTTGAAGTCATTGTAACAGCTCATGACTTCACACCAGCTGTAAATAGAGTTGTTGTTTTTCAAATTTCCCGGCAGTGACAAGGAGGTACGGCTGAAGGCCATGGTAGACCCCGGACTGTCTTCCTCTTGTAGAACGGCTTTGATAGAGGAGCAATCAAGCATGGTGGCAGGCATAGACGTGTAACAATCCTTAAACATAGTATTCTTGTACAACGCATATTCCGGCGTGTTCGATCCGAAGCCGTTGTTGTCCGTTCTTACGACGAACAGGACCGCGATGACAATCCCTGCCCCTAAAAGAGATCCCCAGAGTAGAAGGCCAGACCATACGATGCCAGTTGTTTTTCTCCGACTGCGCTTCTTTGCAGTCCACTTAGGAAAACTTGGAAACTTGCATTCGGTGGGACCGACTTGTAAATATCAGCATTGCTAAGAAAATAATCAATGGTATATACACACAGTCACCTCGGCTTTCATTATTTATCACCGTACTATACTCGAAGTCGTAGAAGCGTGTCCCTGATTGAGGCATGTTGTAGGTCGGCAGATACAAGAAGTAGGTATCCAAACCCCAAGTTGGAAGTCAGCGAGTTGACCATGGGAAGGAGATACAAAGCTCAGTGGCGGGGCTCAGAATACTTATAATAAGGTGCTCTTATGCATGTATTTTAAGCCTAGTCCCCATATAGTTGGCGGGCAGGAGACGGTTCAAGCCTTCTACAGCCCACTCCTGCACCTTTTCATAAGCCCCAGTGGCGGCCACACAGCCTCGGGTAAATATAGTTCTGTTCAGTGTAGGGATCTGTCCATTATGTTAGAATGGCTTAGGCACATTACTAGTAGCAGCCACGGGTATTTTCGCGACTAGAGCAGGTGGGCTGAACAAATAGTATCGCTCATGATGATGACCACTAGCGTACTCTAGTCTAGTCTAGAGACTTATTATAAGTCAACATTTCAGCCCCCCAGAAGGCTGCAGGTTAAGGCGCCATCGTATAGAAAAGCCCTGTGGGTCTAATAGTCAGCTTTGACTTTGTTGCCCAGGTGGTCTTATGCGTGTTGTTGAACGTGTGATATATGCACTAATGTGCAGATGCCAAGAAGCCGAAGGACCCCGCAACTAACGCTCACTGCACCTATTGAACAAACCCTGAGCCCAACCGCTTACCAAACGACGGTCTCCGGGCTCTCGGGATAACTGTCTCTGGCCACCGCACCTTTCAGGCCAGGACTATTATTATATGTAAGGGGGCGCGGCGCGGACCGCAACGCATGGCATCTATGATACAACCGGGAAAACATAGTTGGACTTTATGCACTTAAACCGGCGCGGCGCGGCCCTCGTAACCTCAGGGGGGGGCAACTAGGAGATAGGGGTTCGTCTCGTCTCATCTCACCCGGGTGAGAATACCCCATAAATAAATAAGCCAGAAGCTAAAGCGGGATATCATGGGCTTCAGTTTTTCTCTCCGTGCATCTGTCCCCGTCACTAAATTAGTCCTGTAAATGTGGCTGGCTCCTTGCGGTTTTTTTGGTTCTGTTGGAGGCTTGATGGCTCTCAACGCTGATTCGTCCTTTCTCATGCCAAGGAATTCTCTTATTTGCTCCACACGCTCTCTTGTCATTTGCTGCTCCAATTTTCTAGTCTCTCTTCTGATTGCTGCTCTGATGATCTTTCTCTTTTCTTCCCTGCCTTCTTTACTTGCTTTCTAAGGCTATTGCATACTATGTTCGCCCTTCCGTCTGTTGCTTCTCGCTGTATGGGATCCTGGCCTGTGCTACCATCTTGCCCTGAACGAGAAAAGTAAAAAAAAAAGGTTCAGCTCCGTGCGCGGGGAGTAAGTACCCTACTTTTAAAATTCTAAACTCCTTATTACCTATCATAATGCTTTCTACTTAGCAAGTTCTTCCTACATTTCCGGTCTTTTCGGCTACTTCTTCACTTCACGCCCTCTTGTGATTCCTGTTCTGCAACTTTCACTAGTGTGCAATGAATATATCACATACAATCATTGACCTGAGCACCCTTAGGCGCATGCTGGTCGGGTCAAATATAGAATGGACATATTTGCAGCTTCGTGCGAGGTGCAAGGCGTCATCGATATTATCGAGCGACTCAAACACCCAGGCGATGATCTCGGGTGGGAGGCCAAGAAGATTTGTGCGAGAGGTTTGGCGAGTAGGTGACGCGGATGGGCAACGCAGCGTAGTTCTGCCTGTTAAATAATCTTTATAAAGGTAGATTGGACGTTATCCCTAACGCTAACGTAATTAGCGAACGATTTTCCGTCATTATATCCTATAATTATATTCCGCGAATATTTATCGAGGTGCCCTAGAAGATCGATTAATACTTTCTTTAAATTAATACTAGGGTGCATTTCCTAGACCTACTAATCTCCGTAGCTGCTCCTTTACGATATTTATAGAATGTTCTCAGCATAAATAGTCTCATTTTCTACGAAACTGGCACACGGTGATGGAAAAAAAAGCATTTGTATATATTTTGCAAAGCAAATTACATGCAATTGAACTGAGCTTTGGTATAAAATCATCACAGCTTGCTCTTTGCTCCCGTCACCTTCAACAGGCAACGGCCATTGCTCAACACAACCCGACCCTTGTCATTCTTGGTGACGAAGCGGATCTCCTCATAGCCATCCTGGATGTTACCCATTCTCCAAATCTCAGTGGTAAGCTTATCGCCAGGACGGACGGGCGAGGCAAAGCGAGCCTGGAACTCCTTCATATTGGCAGGGTTGCTACCACCGAATTCGCGCAGAATCCCGTGCGCAGCAGAATTCCAGCTGAAAAGGCCGTGGATAATAATACCACCGAAGCCCATTTTTTGACCGGGCTCTGGTGTGGCGTGGAGAGGGTTGTAGTCACCATTGAGACTAGACAAGGAGTTAACACTGGATGTTTCAAGTATACAAGCCGGACTTGTATATGCACTGAGTGCTTACCGGTACAGGTGAGCTGTCTCCGAGTTGCTCTGAACAACGTGGGTAGCGTCAGGGGCCCTGCCCTCGGGCGGGGCGTAGTTGACGGTGCTAGGTCCTGCTCGAACACGTCAGTTAAAGCTTCACCCAGGGTAATCAAACTACAATCTTACCCTTCGGACCACCCCAGCCACCCTGTCCGACCAGGAAACCGCTAGTGACGACCTTGCTGTACACCTCACCGCTCTCCTTATCCACAATAGACTGCTCGGTCTCGATGACGGTACCAGGCTTGCCTTTATCATAGACACCAATGACCTTATTGCGCAGCTCAAACTTGCGGCCTGCACTAGTGGTAGGGAGCGGCTTCAGGATAGTGATCTTACGCTGGCCATCGACGCCATGACGATGGTCCAGGTCGGGGACGCCTGGAATGTAGACTGCCTTCTGGCGGGCATAGAAATCAGTCACCTCCTGATCAGTGAGTTTGAATGCTAATGGGTTTGGAGTTAGTGTAATTGTCCGAAAGTTCTTGGTGTGCTTAGACATACGGAGGATGAGAGAATAGGTTGGGAAGACCGCGAAGTTCGGGTGGAGTTCCTGGATATAGTTAGATTAGGGTATTTACACAGGTATATATATAGCTGGCATACATAGAGGAAGTGCAGCTCGTCGGCCTTGACACCAATGCTGTTGGCGAACAATAGCACATCGCGCTTCTGCCAAGAGACCTCTTGGGCGGGGAATTCGTGACCAGCTCCGGGGGCGGACATTGGAATGGTAGTATGAAGGGAGTATGAATACAAGATCAGATAAAAAAAATGGGTCAAAAGTGAGGGAAATAAAGAAAACAGGCGCAGTGGCAGACTAAAGTAGCTCCGGTAATTGCGGGGGCCACCAAGGAGCCGAGGATCTGATAATTTTTTGGATTTGTTCCCGTGGTTTTGCCGACGAGGGCACCCTCCTTGGCACAATTTCCCCTTGCAGATCTTACGGTGAAGGTTCTTTTTTTAATTTCAAGCCAATGATTTCGTTTGTATCGTTGGAAAAACATGTCCAGAAGAAGAGCGTTGGAGTTTGCTAGACTAAGCATCGACTCGGGTATCTACCTGGAAATTCGAGGAGCTTCAGAATGATATCCCTCCGTTCGCGCCACAAAATGCCTTTTCCTGCCTCCCAAAAACTAAACGCCGAAATAAACAAAGGCGAAATCAGATGTCCGATTCGCCTCGGGCAATTTCATACATGCCCATGCCAGGATGCATTGCGTGACGAGAATATTTCACTTAGATCGTGCAAACGTGCAGTTGTACATCCCAATGAAATCAGATTAGAAAAGTGGAACAAAATTAACACCTGTGATGCGTTAGAATAAAATGACCTTACAAACGAACCAAAGCAAAATGCCAGAAGAACTTACATGCGGTAGAAGCAGCCACCCTCAGCGGCGCGGGTAGCATCGGAGGTCTCGAACTTGTACGAGATGCTGATATCCAAGTCACGCTTGTTCTTATCGTTAGGGCGGTTCTCAATCCAGCCGGTAACACGCTCCTCCTCCTCGACAGTGAGGACATCGCGGAGGTAGAACACGGTCTGCTTCCAGTGGGTGTACTTGGCGTGAGGGCCAGTGGAGAAGTGGATGGGCTTGTGGCAGGCACTGAACTCGATATCGAACCAGGCGATCAAGGCGTGGATGAAGTCGGGGCGCTTGGCGGTGAGGGCATAAGGCACCTTGAAGGCAAGGTCGGCTGTGGTGACGGTGTTAAGATCAAAGGTGATGATCGCGCAGGGATCGGTCACAAGAGCCTTCATCTCGACGGTATCGACGAGAGGCTCGTTAAGAGCAATCTCCTTCATGGGGCTGTAGTCAAATCCGTAGACGTTGTCCCAGACTGAAAAATGGTTAGTACAGCGGGAAAAAGAGCCCAAGGTAAAATCGTAGCTTACATCCGATCTTGTCATCCTTGTAATCGCCATCCTCAATACCAGCAACGTACATGGTGGCCTTATCGGGGAAGATGAGACCACCGGGGTTGAGGTAGGTGTCACGGGCGTAGAGAACGGTATCCAGCATGGACTCGTACAGAAGGAAGTAACCCATCCACTCAGAGATGATGATATCAACCTTGGGGAAAGGCAGGTTAACTTCCTCCATCTTGCCCTGGAGAAGAGTGATCTTATCGGACAGTCCGTTGACGTCGACAATCTGACGGGCCTTCTCGATGATGGAGGACATGTCAACACCAATGACGTGCTTTGCGCCAGCACGAGCAGCAAACCTGTTCAATAAACCGTTAACAGGAGATCTAAGAGCACGGTATTATTATCGGATACATACATGCTCAGAATACCAGTTCCACAGCCGACATCGAGGACGACCTTGTCCTTGAAGATGTGGCGGTTTTGGTAGATAGAGTCGCGGTAGGAACGTGTGCGCACATCATCTTTCTAGGAGGTAGGAAAACCAATGTTAGAGATCGTAGATAACCAATTGTCCAGTGAATTTGTACTTACAAGCATCTCCTCGTGGATACCTGTGGCAGCCCCAAAAAAAAGATCGTTAGTCAAAACCACACTTAAAATTCGCCATCACTTGATCAAGATAATTTACCGTGGTGGTCGTAGCTATACATTTATTAGCATTAACTCCAAAAAGACCCAATCGATGAAGAATAACGTACCTAGTGAAGTAACGGACTTCAGAGTGCTCCATGCCAACCATGCGATCAGCACTGCTGGTGATCCCCTGAGGGCTATCGGATTCGGTGTCCATCTCGACTGTGCGGAAAGGAGTAATGGGTCACAAAGAAAGAGTAGAGAAGAGTAAAAAAAAGAAAGCAATAGGAAGGATGTTAAAGATAAAAGTCCAACTGAGACCCGTAACTTTTTTTTTCCTGATTATTTGCCCGCCCGCCAAGCTTAACTCCAATCCCCGCCCGCGCTAGCCGCATTAAGGGATCACGTGTATTTACACGTGACAGCACTTGCCCTCATTTATATAGGGCTATCTGCGTGGCATTGTTGTACAGCTGGGAAGTTCTGCAATGTTGTAGGTATAATAATGAGTTCCTGCATCCGATGTATGTGGTATTATATGGGAAACAGCACATGCCTAAGTATAGTAAGTACTAGTTGACGATATTCGATAATTAAAGTAGGTTAATTGCGCCATTGACCATGTCTTTCCTTTTGAGTGAACTACGAAGACCCACATGCAATAACGCCATATGACGAGAATGATAAATAAGGTCAATTCCATTTCAATTGAAGCCGTACAAAGTAGATCAATGGCGCTGTGGGGTAAAAAAAGAGCTGGCTTGATCTTGCCAAGACCACCGAGGGAGGCTCTTCGATGCCGCTGCGAGCTCCGCCCAACCTGTCATTCTTCCCAAGCTTACGCGTTGAACGCCTAAGACCTCGGAACTAAACTTCTGGCCCACAATGAATCTGGGCATAGGAAGAGTGAATCTCTACACTCTTTTCGCTTTTGTGTTTCTAGCCTCCCTCATTGGCAGGTCCAACGCGTCATTAGGGGACCATCTCCCCGACTTCAAAGAATGTGTCCAGGTACGACCCCCATGGACAACAGACCCTTGAGAAACAACTCACAACTATAGGTCTGTAAAACGGAAAATTGTCAGAACGGCAATTCAGTGCTACGTATGTTGAAATCATCGTCCCAACAGTTCCCCGCGTTTCCCTTTGCTGACTTCTCTAGCTCTGCATCACCGCTTGCTACTATGGACCTGCCCTGCTGAATGCGACTACACCTGTCAACATGTCATTACCGACCGTCGAGTTTCGCGTGATCCTCCAATGATCAGCCCGATTGTACAATTCCACGGAAAATGGCCATTCCGTAGGCTCCTAGGGATGCAGGAGCCCTTCTCAGTCCTCTTCTCCTTCTTCAACTTCGCCGCCCACTGGCACGGCATGTCCCGTATTCAGGAGTCGATCCCCACCTGGCACTCGCTCCGCCCATACTACATGATGTTTGGATACATTGGACTTGCTAGCTGGAGTTTCAGCATGATATTCCACATGCGCGATTTCCCCTTGACCGAGAAGCTGGACTATTGGGCGGCTGGCGCCAACGTGCTGTACGGTCTCTACCTTGCCGTCGTTCGAATCTTCCGCCTGGACCTCGAAAACACCCCATACCGGCCAACCCTACGTCGGTTTTGGACTGCTATCTGCGTTCTGCTATACACATTGCACGTGGGTTATCTTACCTTCTGGTCTTGGGACTACACCTACAATATGATCGCGAACGTAGTGGTTGGCATTATCCAAAACCTCATGTGGACCGGGTTTAGTATCTTCCGATATCGAAGACTTGAGAAGTCTTGGGCCGCCTGGCCTGGTATGATTGTGGCGTGGATAATTATGGCCATGAGCTTGGAGTTGCTGGATTTCCCTCCTTGGAATGGGTTGATTGACGCGCACAGCCTCTGGCATCTGGGTACAGTGGTCCCCGCTGTTTGGTGGTACTCGTAAGTCCTCTCCGTTCGCACTACAAGTTTTCATGACTAATGCGTCGGTTGCTCCCGACAGGTTCCTGATCAAGGATGCACAGGACGATATTGCGGCGCATAGGTTGAAAGCGTGAAGAGGATCGAAATTTGGCAATATTTGGCGATCTTTGTATATATACATATACCAGGATAGCATAGACATGTTAATATGTCATGCTTGACTGTAGCTTAGATGTGGAGGTAGCAGTAATGAAGATTGGGGTGCTCCCCACCAGAGTGTTTACAGTTAATTTCCACGGCCGCCAATACAGGTAAATATGTTATTGCCACGTACTTTGCCGGGCCGTGGTCTGTGTTCCCCGCTATTCGCTCACCGCTACGGCCGTCGCAATAAACCATGTCTCACCCCAAACCCCTCAGCCGCTTTTTTTTGTTTCAAGTACTCCCCTCCTCTTCGACTTCCACTTTACCTGGAGCTTCAGAGCACCTATCCGCTTGGAACTTATTACGGCGCTTTACAACCAATCACACATTTGCGCCATGGCCTCTCCGGCTGTCAAGAAAGCGATCACCGAGGCGGCGTTGCAGTACACAAAGCCCGAGGGCAAGGTATTTGAGTATGGCACAGCAGGGGTATGTCGCATTGCTGAATGAACATTCTACTCTAGAGACTTGACTAATTTCCATTCTCTCCGCTATAGTTTCGCATGAAAGCGTAAGTTTCTTCAAACATGGCTGATCCGCCCCGCCTCCACATCTCTACAACCCCGCGATCATCCTTTTGTTGACGCCGACTTATTCTGACCAATCTGGCTGCGCAGCGACCTCCTCAACACAGTTGTTTTTGCAGTGGGCTTGCTTGCAAGCCTACGGTCGAAGAAGCTTAGCGGACAATGGATTGGTGTTATGGTTACTGCTAGCCACAACCCCGCGGAGGACAATGGTGTTAAGTTGGTTGACCCCATGGTGAGTCTAAGCCATTGATCCCTGTTATAGTACCAGCCCCATTAGGACAAGTCTAACCTTATATTTTCTTTAGGGCGAGATGCTTGAAGTAAGATTGGCCTGCGTTGAACGACCGAACTTGGAATAACGTACTCACTGTCCTAACTAGGCTGAGTGGGAGGCATACGCGACAAGACTGGCAAATGCCCCATTGGATAAGGTCGCCGATGTCTACGATGAACTTATCAAGGAAATTGACGTGAAGATGACCAACCCCGCTCGTGTTGTCTTTGCTCGTGATACCCGTGCTTCTGGTTCCCGTCTGGTAGGCGTTCTGAATGCCGCTCTTACTGCGACGGAGGTCGAGTTTGTGGACTTGAAATACATGACCACCCCACAACTCCACTACGTTGTTCGCTGCAAGAACACCCTTGGAACACAATATGAGTACGGTGAGCCGACTGAGCAAGGATACTATGAGAAGCTTGCAAACTCCTTCAAGAAGGTTATGCGGGGAGTCAAGGTCCAGGGTTCCCTGACTGTGGACTGCGCCAACGGTGTCGGTGGACCTAAATTGAGGGAACTGATGAAGTACCTCACCGGAATCGATATTAAGGTTGTCAACGATGATGTGATCAACCCTGACGCCCTGAACTTCGATGTATGCTTCCACCTGCCCAACACACAACTTTCGATCAACCTAACATTTCATGCAGTGCGGTGCCGACTATGTTAAGACCAAGCAACGCGCTCCTCCTTCTTCCAAAGCTGCCGTGCTTGATCGATGCGCTTCGCTAGACGGTGACGCCGATCGTCTTGTTTACTACTTCCTAGACGAGAGCAACGTGTTCCGTCTTCTGGATGGGGATCGTATCGCCACCCTTGCGGCGTCTTTCATTGGCGATCTTGCCCGCAATGCTGGAATCGCTTCGAAGCTGAAGATTGGTGTTGTCCAGACCGCCTATGCCAACGGTGCAAGCACAGATTACATTGAGAAGGTCCTCAAGCTTCCCATTATCTGCACCAACACCGGTGTGAAGCACCTTCACCACGCCGCGCTGCGGTTCGATGTTGGTGTCTACTTCGAGGCCAACGGACATGGTACCGTCACCTTCTCAGAGAATGCCCTAAAGGTCATCAAGAACACCGAGCCTCAATCGCCTGCGCAGCAGCACGCCCTCGAGAGCCTCCAGGCCCTGACAGACCTGATTAACCAGGCTGTCGGTGATGCCTTGTCCGACGCACTTCTTGTGGAGGCCATCCTCGCCCACAAGGGCTGGTCACCCAAGGAGTGGCTTGGAACCTACACCGACCTTCCTTCGCGCCTCGTGCGTGTCGAGGTCAATGACCGTTCCATTTTCAAGGCGTATGACGCTGAGCGTAAGCTCGAATCTCCCCCCGGCCTGCAGGGCACTATCGAGTCTCTTCAGTCTCGGTACAACAAGGGCCGCAGCTTCGCCCGTGCCAGCGGTACCGAGGATGCCGTCCGTGTCTACGCCGAGGCTGCCAGTCGCTCCGAGGCGGACGACCTGGCCACGCGCGTTGCCAACGCTGTTAGCGAGGCAGGCAGCGCCTAATAGATTCCCTAGTCCAAATTGGATCTTCGGTCTTGACAAATGCCCCTAGGGACCACTGTTTCTAGGCTGTATTGCAATTATTACACTGGCCTTTGTGGCTTAGGCAGCGGATACCTCTTCAACTCTATGGACCCCCGGAAATATGGTCCAGGAAAATATTCGATATCATTTTGACGCAGTAATGAAATCTATGGATTCTTTCATATTACATACTTAAACGCCCCAAATTCGTAAGATAGACCACTATTCATGTACAAGAAAAGCAAATGAGCCAGGATAGAATTCTAGCCCTCTTCCTGGTCCATGGCATCGCGACTTCGCTTGCCCTTGAACGAGAACTTTCCTTTGCCCTTAGCCCCCTTCTTCTCGTCGTAGTGCTTCATCGCCTGAATGGCATCACGCTGCGAAGCGCTCACTTGCTCAGCAAAGACCATAGCCTCATCTTTTGGAGCGGGGTATTCGGCCAACTCTTTGCCCATGGCAGCCTCTATACGCTGCCAGATTTCCACGTCATATTGCGTGACAAAAGAGATGGCGGTTCCAGACTTTCCGGCACGTGCCGTACGGCCTACTCGGTGAATATAGGTCTTACTGTCGGTTGGCAAGTCAAAGTTCAAAACACAGTCCACAGAGGGGATATCCAAACCACGAGCAGCAACATCGGTGGCAACCAGGATCTCGCGACTTTTCGATCGGAATTTTCCCAGTGCTCCCAGACGTGCAGATTGCGACATTTGGCCATGGAGAGGGATTGCGCCGAAGCCTAGACCGCGCAGCAGGAAAGCAATACGCTGC